GTCGTGCACCATTAATGTGGCTGATGTCTGCGGCCGGCGATGGTCTTGGGTGGCTGGGGGTATTTTGTTAACTTTTAAATTTTTTTGTGGTTGAAGTGTTTTAGCTAATTTCTCAAATGTAGGGGGCTGGACTAATTGTTATTTGTAGACATTTGAGGGCAATTGTGTCCGAAATGGTTTTTAATTAAGGGCAAAATGAGTAGAAAAATCAGAGTACCTCGATAATGTTTTAATAACACCCTTTAACAAGGTAATAAGATTATCCCCCACATTACTAAAAAATAAACACTATTTGCAATATAAGATTACTGTAATATTTTATTACTTGTAAACCAAACGTAGAAATCTTGTAAAATAAACGATGATTATCCCATTATGTTATATACGCCCGATCCAAACGCCCCCTAGGGCGTTTGGTTCAGGGAATGTTGGATTACTGGAAAGATAGATTACCTTGAAGATTATTGGGAATGTTTAGGAAAATGTGTTTGGTTAATTGGTAAGTATGTTATATTAATATGTTTGGTTGAGAGGAATAAATTGGTGGATATGTTATTTAAATTACTGAATTGTCCTCTAATTAAATATTATTATTATTTAATAGTATTTAGATTATATAAGCCCCCTTACATTTAAAAACTTAGCAAAAAAAAAAAAAAAAAACCCCATAATAAAAGTTTGGAAAATCAACAAAACACCCCCACCAACCCAGCTACTGTCGATCGTCGGCAACCACCATAGGCTATCGGCAGCCAGCAACCTAACGGTGCACAAAAGGCAAAAAATGGCCGCCGTACGTCGATATGGCCTTCAACGGCTAGATTGATGGATCTGGTCTTTGATGACCTGATTAGATTTGGCCGTCAAGGGCCATTTCCGACCAGATATCAGGTCGCAAATGGCCATATTGGCCATTTTTGGCATTTCGTGCATTGTTCCGGTGGCGGTTGGCCGCGGCGGTGGTTACCGGCGGTAGGTGGCTGGGGATGGTGGTTTGGGTGGGCTGTAATTTTTTTTTTAATTCAAGGGTAAATTTGTTAAAAAAGTTAATTAATTGGGGGTGAAATAGTAAAAGCTATATTCATGTAAATAAATTTAAAAATAAGGGCATTATTGTCCTAAAATTTTATTAATAAGAGATAGAATCGTAATAAAAAAAGATATCCCTAATAATCTTAGAATACCTAAGAAAATAGAAGTAATCAGATTACCTTAAATATTGTCAATAGTAACCACTATTGGTACTTAAAGATTATCGATATCTTATATTACTTGATAACTAAACATGATAATCTAAGTAATATAAGATGACTTGATCCGAGTAATCTCAAATACCCCCTAACCAAATGCTCCCTTAAAATAATAATGGCTTACCTGCAGTACTCTGTTTGCTGCAGCTGTTGCCTTCTCATAGTCCTTCTCAGCAAATGAACAAGCTAGAATGGCCTGAAACAGTGGAGGAAACATGTTACTGATAAGTTCATAATTCATAATGCTCCTCATTGAAATCATAATCATGAAGAAAAATTGGAAGTTATTAAATACCTGTCCCGCAACAGCCAATCCATCAGCCAGAAGAGATGATGTGAGCCAGACCTGTAAGCAAATTTGGAACGCAGCCATAGGTGTTGAACCAAGGCGTGCAGCCATTGAAGCTGCGAGTGTGACACAGATAGTCGCAGCTATTACTCTGGTTAACAAATAAAAACCTTGATGTTGTTAGACTGCTCTTAGCTGCAGGTGCGGATCCATATTGTGTTGATGCCAGTGGTCGACGTGCGGTTGATGTTATTGCTGTTCCACCAAAGCTCAGAGCAAGATGAGAATCGCTCTTGAAGAACTTCTTGGAAGCAATTGTGCTTGGTGTTAGCCGTGATGTTGAGAGCAATTTGCAATATCGACTAGTTTTCTAGTTCTAGCTCCCCAATCCTCTCTGTATTAGGCAATGGGTCACACCATCTACTGAGTTAGCATCTTCTCAATATCTCAAAGTTTAATGATGTATCTGTCAGTGTGTTGCTGAAAAGAAAGAGTAACCAATTGATCCATCTCTCCCAGACATAAAAAACAGCATTTAGCATCTGGAGTTTCGGATGTTCTCCTTCAAGGTCGTCCTTGTTCCCGAGCATATTCCCATATGGACAGAGTGCCCTTTTGTCCACCCGGGGGAGAATGTCGGCGAAGAGATCCTCGGAAGTTTCACTATAGCTGTGTGCCTTGTCCTGATTTTCGTAAGGGTTTGTAGGTGGTGATATGTGTGGTGGTATGCTCATGGAGTGTTTGAGTGTGGCTACACCCAGCTCAATACAGAACTCGGCTATGCAAAGATGGCACAAGTTGAATAGGCGGGTTTGCTTTTGCTCACACAGCTGAAGAACTTCGCCCCTTGTATGTCTTTCTGGATCTGTGGTTCCTTCACCACGCTCATCTGTGAAGCAGTGCTGGTGTCATGGATATGGCTGCCACATTGAGCCTTCCCTGGTTCTCCCTCATCGACTCCTGCCATGTCACAATCCCTTTACTCAACCCATGTCTCCTTCAGGGAATGGCAATATGCACTCATGCATGGCGTGGCCACAACCAAATGTTCCTACACTTAATCTCCCGGGGAGCAACTTCAATCGAGTCGCTTGAGGTTCCCTTAGTGCTAGAGATCCCTGCTGATGATTTTAGCATGTCAGAACATGATGCCCAACAACGATATTAAATGATCTAACTGTTTTTCAATCACGAAACAGTCCTGTGTCTTTGAGTCGCTCTGGTCGGACTAAAACACTGATCCCTCAAATCTGGAGGAGCTTTCACTGCTGAGGTATCTTATCTCCTAGGTATTCTGACAGGCCGTTTTCTCCCTGGCCACAAATCAGCTGTTCTCAATCAACTCCAACAACAAGATGCTATCTCCCATTAATACAAATGTTCTCTCCAAAAAACGTAGAGCACCCCTAAGGCAGGCTTCATTTTGGTTGGATCTCCCGGTAGAATGTCACCAAGAAGTGTGGAGCCAATTTCCCCAATGGGCTCTAGGCTAGCTGCTTGATGCAGCGTGAGAAGCAGCAACAGCTCGAAGCCTCAGCTTGAGGGACCTAGGATCCAATAATCCCATCCCAACTGTTGGTTCTCCTGTAATGCAAATTCTTGGTCTAAATGGGGATCTCCAAATGGAAAAGTAGACTGGTCAGTTAATGGGGATGAACTAGAACTTTTGCGGAAGATCAAATTCGTTTGATCTTCGGAAGAACATTGGTGAGGAGCCTGATCTAACTTGGGTTCAGCTCTAGTTAAGGAATCACCACCTGGGATGATGAAGAGAAACCAACAGTTCTGGCCTCTGGTGCCGCATCTTCTGGTGAGGTTTGAGTTCTAGTTCTCCTACTGATTCATTGATCATTCGGTTATTGGGGCATGGCTTGAGCAAATGCAGCTTGATCTTGTAGTCTAGTGAATAATTTCATCTTGATTACTCAAATTGATGATAGGTAAAGCACATTTCACAAGGTACATATTATTTGCTGGTTGGTATTTTGGGATGGTTGAGCTTTGGGAAGACACAACAGTAGTGAAGGTGGAACAAAAGGGTGATGTTCAACAGTTAAGTGTTAAAAGAATGACTGAAAGTTCAGGCAAATTATTCAATTTTTCTTATACATTTTATGTTTATTACAGAAATTAAGAAAGTGGGAAGAAGCCTCTCTCTGGACATTGATTAAGAAAACTTAGTCAGGCTTGGTCTCTCTCTTCTAATATTTTCTGCTCGTAGGATTATTCTGCTGCTAAATTTTCTCTTCAAAGAAATGGCTGATACAAGACCTTTATTGATCTTTTGATGTCTCATTTTAGTTCCCAAAATATTTATTTTCCTTGGATAGTGATTGACTAAAGAACGTAAGTGGGGGAGAAGGGGAGGGTATCTTTTTGATGGGCAATGTAATTTAGATGCCATATGTTTCCTTTATTATTAATATATTTGAATACCTTTTTTTTTTTTTTTCTTTCCTTAGTTGAACCTCGCCTCCTTATTTTTTCTTGATTCACTTTGCCTGCTTTTTCGGATGTACATACAATCAATAAAGAAGCCAAGTTAATATATATGTTATGGGTGTCATTATGAATTGTATCTCCATCCGATGTTTCGGTTATTAATTGGTTATCATTATTTGTGAGACACAAAGGAATAGAATATGTTAAGATCTTTTAATCTTTTAAGAAGAAGATCCACATGTGGAATAACATAGATAGTGGATATATTTTCTTGAATAAGGAATGAATTTATGAGATCTAACTTTTAAAAGATGGTGGTTGGGGTCCTTGACTTTGAGATTGAGGAAGAGGGTATTTTCAATTTTGACCTTTTGTGTTTTGATGCAAACCACTCAACCCATAAGTAAGGTGGGTGGGCAAGCCTCTATTGAAGTTGGATAAGAAATGGTTAATATTTTCACTTGGGTATTTTGATAGTGATTTGAGTCTTTGTGGTGGGTCAAGTTCATGTTGTAAGATTTCAGGGTTTTGCCCTTTTTATGGTCGGTTGTAGAGTAGGTTGCTTACTTTCTAAGTATAATGTTTTGGTTCTAAGCATTATTTATTAATCAACTTTTCTTTATATCAATCCCCATTGCTTGCTTTTAGGGCACCGTTCCTCTCACTCTAGATGGCGGCTTAATATTTCTTCGTTTTTATATACCTTTTATTTGATTAGTTGCTTGTGATTAGTATATAATGCTAAGGCTAATATGCACTTGACAATATTGCCTGATTTTCATCACTAAAGTGATCAAAATTTCTATGTGGAAGAGGAGAGAAATGGTGGTCGGTCATGTGTTTATTTATAAAAGATATGGTACAATAGCACTCAAACAGAAGCATTATATATGTGTATCTGGGAAATGATACCTCAAGAAAAAAAAAAACCAAGAAAAATAGTTGTTTTAACGACAAACACTAGAGAACATAGTTAAGTAATTTTAGTCCTGAATCCTGAAGCTATATATATATAAAGCTTATGGTAACAATCGGGCTTTGAGAAATCCCCAAGGTCCAGTTCCAGTTCCCATCCTGCATGCAAAAATTGAAGTCTTTTTACTTAAATAAAAGTGTTCCAAAAGATAGTTTTATGTGTAAATTAGTTGATTTTGGTCACCTCCATACACCAGCAAATGTGCGGAGACCCATGTAAATTGTTAAAGCTATCCAGATTCCAGCAAAAACTATTGCTCTTAAAGAGAACAAATAGCTTGCTATGCTTACCATGGCCACCAAAACCTGAAGAAAATGACAAGAAGTTTGACATTTATCAGAAGAGAATTTGGAAAGAGATTGAAGATTAATTCAACATTTAAGAGCCTGCTGTGTACTAACCATGGAGTATGCAGAATATGCAAAATCAGAAGCTCCAAAATTTACACCATCAAAGACAAAAGCTAGAGAATTGATGGGTTGAGTTGCTGCAACAAACTGAAGGGTGAAAGAGAGAGATATTTGTTTTAAGTTAATTTACCAATATGATACACGTATGTCCGGAAGTATGAATTACCGGTATGCCGATGTTTATAAGGGGGATAACATGAACATCTTTTGAAAAGATTCCAGAGCCGAAGTAGAGTCAAGTCCTACAAAAGAGCAAGCCCCAAGCCTAGAACAAAACCCATCTGCAAAACCAACATTATGATAATTTTCACGATCTTGTTTTTAACATTCATCAATAAAAAAGATGAGACCTTAATTGTAAATCTCAGGAACGTTCGAATCATATAAGTTTTATATAGGGGTATATTAGAGAGTGTTTGTCTAAGCTATAAACCGGTCAAACTAGCTTATAAGCTCTAAAAATAAGCTGACTTGTTTGTTATTATTTTTTGAACTTATAAAGAAAAAAAAAAAAAAAAAGTTGGGCGGGGGTAGGGGAGGTATTTTTTTTTTTTTTTTTTTGCTTATAAAGCTAGTTTGACCAAATATATTACACATTATTTTAATTTTAAAATTCTATAGTATACCCTGTTTAATATAGACATTTTTTAGTCATTTTATAATAAAATGTACTTATAAGCCACATTTTACCAAACACGCCAACTACTTATCAGTCACTTATAAATATTTAATCAAACACATAATTGCTTAACATTTCAAATGCTATAAACTAACTTGTTATATAGCTAATTTTCATAAACTAGACAAACACCCCTATATTAACGAAAAAAAGATCATTTTAAAGATTACTAGGATATTTAAAATATGTTTGATTGGTTGAAAAAATCGGTGAATAATATGTTTGGTTGGAAGGGTATGGGTGGGTATGTTATATAAAATATAAATTGCCCTCCTTTTAAATATTAATTAATATATTTTTTTATTATTTTTTAAATCATTATTAACTCTCTACATTTGAAATTTACTAAAACACTAGCATATAAAACTTTAATTTGTAACAAAATCACCCTCACCCGCATAGTTATGGTTATTAAAAGTGAAAATTTGTCACCAACAACTTATATTCCTCATAATATATTAATATGAAGTAAGTGATAGTTATTTATTAACAAAATATATTATATGCTTTCAAATGGGCATAGCATAATCTAACTACTTTTCTCCTAAACCCAAATCTTTTCTTCTAATCAAGACAATTTCATGATTGTTGTCCTATGTCTTTCAAAACCTTAACTCAATCTATATATAATTATTGTTGCTTACTTTGGTAAGAAATTCAAACTGTGAAGATAAGATTTGATTTTAAAGTCAATTGCAATTAAATATAATGCATTAAAATACATATGTATATGGTAAATGACACGTAATGAGTTCTATCCAACTTCGTTTATGATGATATTAGAATTATGTTTGTTTGAGACGATGGTTAGTCTTGATATTTTTGTACCTTGATAGGTTTGTACTTTGACTATGCACGCCAAATGTGAAAGAAGGTGTTAAAAGTTGTAATATATTACCAATTTGGTAGACTGTTATAAAATATATGGTTGAATTTTCTCCTTTTTTGATTCGGCTTTTGTGAGTGGGTTTTACCCGAGCTCATGTTTTTTGGTATTCTTAATTTTGGATTTATACTTGTCAATATTTGTTTTCTTAATTCAAAAGGCATAAGGATAAATTCTAAAGTAAATATACCTTAAACAACTTTAATTTTTATTATTCTTAATTTTGGAATCAAATTTCTCCCGTAAGTAAATCACTTCAAGTTTCCTTTTAAAAATATTAAAGAAAAGGTTGAATAATAATAGTAATAATAAAAGAAATTTATTTTAAGAAACTCTTTGTATAAATTTTTTCATTTTTAAAATAGAAACTCTTATTACACACATATTTTTATTTATTTATAAAAATATAATATTATATTATGATTTGACTCTAAATTAAACCAAAATTGACTATTGCCCTGACACATTCTCTTTGATTGGCGGACTCCAAATCTCCAATTCCAATCCAGCTTTTAACACGCCACTTCACGTCCACAATCTTTCCCACCTCACTTTAAATTTAACTCTCATTTCAACTTCATTTAACGTGCATTTCAATACCATTTCATTTCTTCTTGTTTCTTCATTTTTATTTTGAGCTTAAACTCTATCCATCCTTGTAAAATCTAATCTTCCATTTCCATTTCTAGGCTTTACTTTCTTCCTCTCCAAACAATCTCTTTCTTTATTCTTGGTTTAGTTCAGTTCAGCACAGTTTTTGTTTCCTCGGTAGCATCGAACGTGAAGAAGATGTTTACAAGTTGTGCTATAAAACAACACTTCATCTATTATCTCTCTAGCTTGTCTTCTTCTATCACTTTACTTGAGGCAGTTTCGGCCATTGATCTTTGCTCTGCAGATCCATGAAGCCCCATGCTGATTCGTCTTCTCTCTTTCGTTAGATCTGTTGACTTTTCTTCTACTCACCTCATGCTTCAAATTTTGTATGGTGAGTTCTTTTTAGTATTTAAGTTTTCGTTGTTGTTTGGTTGCTGAGAAAATGGAATGTCCTGAAAAAGAGTTTTGGTTTTTTTTTTTTTTTTTTTTAAGTGAATAGCAAAAAGTTTTGATTTTTAGAATAAGAATCTCTCATGCTTCTACCAAAATAAGAAAAAAATTAAAGTAGTTGTAATCTAGATTATTCCCAAGTACTTATATGATATGTCTGTGTAGATTATTCTAGAGTTTGAGTTGCAGATCTACCTTTACTAAGGTTCTTGTTGTTGGTGATTATGATTTGGTTTTGATTTTGTCCAATCTTCTTGTTAAAGTTTTGTGCTGATCTATTTGTACATGATCCATTACAAGATTAGTATATTTTTCTTGTCTATAAGTTAGTTCTATGCAATTATACGTATTGCTTGTAATGAATAAGTAGCTCTCATTCTATCTCAAAATATATAAATAAAAATGATGTTTTACTAAGTTTCAGTACGGGTTTTCTATGATATTTTCATTATTATCATTATTTTGGTTTATTCTATGGTATTGTCGTCATTAATTTTAGTGTGTTTTATGGATTTGTGGGTTTCTAGAATTGGTATGATTTATTTATTCATTTAATTTTTGTTCATGATTCTCCAGCTAATTGAAGCATGTGCGGTGGTCCAGAGCGATCAAAATCTAGCACCAAAGATATGAATAACCTTAGTGTTGAGACTGAAGATTCTTTTTCCAGCTTACTTGAACTTGCTTCTAACAATGATGTTGAAGGCTTTAAGCGAGTATTAGAGCGGGATCCTTCTTGTGTTGACGAGGTTGGGCTGTGGTATGGCCGTCAAAAAGGCTCAAAACAGATAGTTCGCGAGGCTAAAACTCCGTTGATGGTTGCTGCTACCTATGGTAGTGTTGATGTGCTTAAGCTTATACTGCTGCATTCTATGGCTGATGTAAATCTCTCATGTGGCACGGACAAAAGCACTGCCCTTCATTGTGCTGCTTCTGGAGGTTCACCTGATATGATTGATGTTGTTAGACTGCTCTTAGCTGCAGGTGCGGATCCATATTGTGTTGATGCCAGTGGTCGACGTGCGGTTGATGTTATTGCTGTTCCACCAAAGCTGCAGAGCATGAGAATCGCTCTTGAAGAACTTCTTGGAAGCAATTGTGCTTCTCGTGTTAGCCGTGATGTTGAGAGCAATTTGACAATATCGACTAGTTCTTCTAGTTCTAGCTCCCCAATCCTCTCTGTATTAGGCAATGGGTCACTACCATCTCCTACTGAGTTAGCATCTTCTCCAATATCCTCAAAGTTTAATGATGTATCTGTCAGTGCTGTTGCTGAAAAGAAAGAATACCCAATTGATCCATCTCTCCCAGACATAAAAAACAGCATTTATGCATCTGATGAGTTTCGGATGTTCTCCTTCAAGGTCCGTCCTTGTTCCCGAGCATATTCCCATGATTGGACAGAGTGCCCTTTTGTCCACCCGGGGGAGAATGCTCGGCGAAGAGATCCTCGGAAGTTTCACTATAGCTGTGTGCCTTGTCCTGATTTTCGTAAGGGTTCTTGTAGGCGTGGTGATATGTGTGAGTATGCTCATGGAGTGTTTGAGTGCTGGCTACACCCAGCTCAATACAGAACTCGGCTATGCAAAGATGGCACAAGTTGCAATAGGCGGGTTTGCTTTTTCGCTCACACAGCTGAAGAACTTCGCCCCTTGTATGTCTCTTCTGGATCTGTGGTTCCTTCACCACGCTCATCTGTAAGCAGTGCTGGTGTCATGGATATGGCTGCCACATTGAGCCTTTTCCCTGGTTCTCCCTCATCGATCTCTGCCATGTCACCTAATCCCTTTACTCAACCCATGTCTCCTTCAGGGAATGGCAATATGCACTCATCCATGGCGTGGCCACAACCAAATGTGCCTACACTTAATCTCCCGGGGAGCAACATTCAATCGAGTCGCTTGAGGTCTTCCCTTAGTGCTAGAGATATCCCTGCTGATGATTTTAGCATGTTGTCAGAACATGATGCCCAACAACAGATTTTAAATGATCTAACCTGTTTTTCTCAATCACGAAACAGTCCTGTGTCTTTGAGTCGCTCTGGTCGGACTAAAACACTGAATCCCTCAAATCTGGAGGAGCTTTTCACTGCTGAGGTATCTTCATCTCCTAGGTATTCTGATCAGGCCGTTTTCTCCCCTGGCCACAAATCAGCTGTTCTCAATCAACTCCAACAACAAAGCATGCTATCTCCCATTAATACAAATGTTTTCTCTCCAAAAAACGTAGAGCACCCACTAAGGCAGGCTTCATTTGGTGTTGGATCTCCCGGTAGAATGTCACCAAGAAGTGTGGAGCCAATTTCCCCAATGGGCTCTAGGCTAGCTGCATTGATGCAGCGTGAGAAGCAGCAACAGCTACGAAGCCTCAGCTTGAGGGACCTAGGATCCAATAATCCCATCCCAACTGTTGGTTCTCCTGTAAATGCAAATTCTTGGTCTAAATGGGGATCTCCAAATGGAAAAGTAGACTGGTCAGTTAATGGGGATGAACTAGAACTTTTGCGAAGATCAAATTCGTTTGATCTTCGGAAGAACATTGGTGAGGAGCCTGATCTAACTTGGGTTCAGTCTCTAGTTAAGGAATCACCACCTGAGATGATGAAAGAGAAACCAACAGTTCTGGCCTCTGGTGCCGCATCTTCTGGTGAGGGTTTGAATTCTAGTTCTCCTACTGATTCCATTGATCATTCGGTTATTGGGGCATGGCTTGAGCAAATGCAGCTTGATCAGCTTGTAGTCTAGTGAATAAATTCATCTTGATTACTCAAATTGATGATAGGTAAAGCACATTTTCACAAGGTACATATTATTTTGCTGGGTATTTTTAGGGATGGTTGAAGCTTTGGGAAGACACAACAGTAGTGAAGGTGGAACAAAAGGGTGATGTTCAACAGTTCAAGTGTTAAAAGAATGACTGAAAAGTTCAGGCAAATTATTCAATTTTTTTTCTTATACCATTTTATTGTTTATTACAGAAATCAAGAAAGTGGGAAGAAGCCTCTCTCTGGACATTGATTAAGAAAACTTAGTCCAGGCTTGGTCTCTCTCTTCTAATATTTTCTGCTCGTAGGATTATTCTTGCTGCTAAATTTTCTCTTCAAAGAAATGGCTGATACAAGACCTTTATTGTATCTTTTGATGTCTCATTTTTTCAGTTCCCAAAATATATATTTTCCTTGGATAGTTGATTGACTAAAGAAACGTAAGTGGGGGAGAAGGGGAGATTAATTCTTTTTGATGGCTGCAATGTAATTTAGATGCCAATATGTTTCCTTTATTATTAATAATATATTTGAATACCTTTTTTTTTTTTTTTTTTCCTTAGTTGAACCGTCTTGCCCTCTTATCTTTTTCTTGATTCACTTTGCTCGCTTTATTTCGGATGTACATACAATCAATAACTGAAGCCAAGTTATATATATATGTTATCTGGGTGTCATTATTGAATTGTATCTCCATCCCGATGTTTCGGTTATTAATTGGTTATCATTATTTGTGAGACACAAAGGAATAAGAATATGTTTAAGATTCTTTTTAATCTTTTAAGAAGAAGATCGTCACATGTGGAATAAACATAGATAGTGGATATATTTTCTTGAATAAGGAATGAATTTATGAGATCTAACTTTTAAAAGATGGTGGTTGTGGTCCTTGACTTTGAGATTGAGGAAGAGGGTATTTTCAATTTTGTACCTTTTGTTTTGTTTTGATGCAAACCACTCAACCCATAAAGTAAGGTGGGTGGGCAAGCCTCTATTGAAGTTGGATAAGAAATGGTTAATATTTTTCACTTGGGTATTTTGATAGTGATTTGAGTCTTTGTGGTGGGTCAAGTTCATGTTGTAAGATTTCTAGGGTTTTGCCCTTTTTATGGTCGGTTGATGAGTAGGTTGCTTACTTTCTAAGTATAATGTTTTGGTTCTAAGAATTATTTATTAATCAACTTTTCTTTATAATCAATACCCCATTGCTTGCTTCTTAGGGCACCGTTCCTCTCACTCTCTAGACGGCGGCTTTAATATTTCTTACGTTTTACATAGCCTTTTATTTGATTAGTTGCTTGTGATTAGTATATAATGCTAAGGCTAATATGCACTTGACAATATTGCCTGATTTTCATCACTAAAGTGATCAAAATTTCTATGTGGAAGAGGAGAGAAATGGTGGTCGGTCATGTGATTTTTATTTTATAAAAGCTCTATGGTACAATAGCACTCAAACAGAAGCATTATATATGTGTATCTGGGAAATGATACCTCAAGAAAGAAAAAAAACCAAGAAAAATAGTTGTTTTAACTGACAAACACTAGAGAACATATAGTTAAGTAATTTTAAGTCCTGAATCCTGAAGCTATATATATAAAAAGCTTATGGAAACAATCGGGCTTTGAGAAATCCCCAAGGTCCAGTTCCAGCTCCCATCCTGCATGCAAAAATTGAAGTCTTTTTACTTAAATAAAAGTGTTTCCAAAAGATAGTTTTATGTGTAAATTAGTTGATTTTGGTCACCTCCATACACCAGCAAATGTGCGGAGACCCATGTAAATTGTTAAAGCTATGTTAACACTGTGACTCCGACGGATGACACAACCTAGGCTATCCAAAGGTCTTGTTCAAGTTGGCCACAATAGCACTTATCACATTTATGACTTATCGTCCATTGGCTTGTACTAGTATACAACTTACCAATCTATTAGGTTTGTAAGGTGTCCAATAGATCTCGAAGAATAGTCGAGATGCACGCAAATTAGCTCAGACACTCTGTCATTAAAAAAAAAAAAAAAAGGTTGGAAGAAAAAATTTAGAATATCGAGCTATACACACTCCATACTATAAAACAATAATTTATATCATTATAAATTTTTTTGGTAGTGACTAGTTATTATCAAGTTGAAAAAACAATATGTATTTATTAATCGGTGATACTATTGAAGTAATTCAATTCTTTATATTTATGTATTAATTATGTAAAAATGAACCAACATAATTCCTTAAATATGGAAGAAACACGTTGCCTAACTTGATTAAGATTAGTTATGGTTATTAAAAGTGAAAATTTGTCACCAACAACTTATATTCCTCTATATATTAATATGAAGTAAGTGATAGTTATTTATTAACAAATATATTATATGCTTTCAAATGGGCGTAGCAATATCTAACTACTTTTCTCCTAAACCCAAATCTTTTCTTCTAACAAGACAATTTCATGATTGTTGTCCTATGTCTTTCAAACCTTAACTCAATCTATATGTAATTATTGTTGCTACTTGGTAAAATTCAAACTGTAGATAAGATTGATTTTAAAGTCAATTGCAATTAAATATAATGCATTAAAATACATATGTATATGGTAAATGACACGAAATGAGTTCTAGCCAATTTCGTTTATAATGGTATTAGAATATGTTTGTTTGAGACGATGGTTGGTTTTGATAGATTTGTACCTTGACTATGCACGTCGAATATGAAAGAGGATGTTAAAAGTTGTAACTATCGTTAATTTGATAGATTGTTATAAAATATATGGTTGACTTTCTTCTTTTTTGATTTGGTTTTTGTGATGGGTTTTACCCAAACTCATTTTTTTTTTTTTTTATTCTTAATTTGGATTTATACTTGTCAATATTTGTTTTCTATTCAACAAGCATAAGGATAAATTCTAAGTAAGTAATATACCTTAAACAACTTTAATTTTTATTATTCTTAATTTTGGAATCAAATTTCTCCAGTAAGTAATCACTTCAAGTTTCCTTTTAAAAATATTAAGAAAAAGGTTGAATAATAATAGTAATAATAAAAGAAATTATTTAAAGAAACTCTTTGTATAAATTTTTCATTTTTAAAATAGAAACTCTTATTACCACATATTTTATTTGTTATAAAAATATAATATTATATTATGATTTGACCCTAAATTAAACCAAAATTGACTATGCCCTGACACATTCTCTTTGATTGGCGGACTCCAAATCTCCAATTCCAATCCAGCTTTTAATCCGCCACTTCACGTCCACAATCTTCCCCACCTCCTTTAAATTTAACTCTCATTTCAACTTCATTTAACGTGCATTTCAATACCATTTCATTTCTTCTTGTTTCTCCTTCTTTTTATTTTGAACTTAAACTCTATCCAGTCCTGTAAAATCTAATCTTTCATTTCCATTTCTAGGCTTTACTTTCTTCCTCTCCAAACAATCTCTTTCTTTATTCTTGGTTTAGTTCAGTTCAGCACAGTTTTTGTTTCCTCGGTAGCATCGAACTGAAGAAGATGTTTACAAGTTGTGCTTAAAACAACACTTCATCTATATCTCTCTCTAGCTTTCTTCTTCTATCACTTACTTGAGGCAGTTTCGGCCATTGATCTTGCTCTGCAGATCCATGAAGCCCCATGCTGATTCGTCTCTCTCTTTCGTTAGATCTGTTGCATTTTTCTTCTACTCACCTCATGCTTCAAATTTTGTATGGTGAGTTCTTTTTATTATTTAAGTTTTCGTTGTTGTTTGGTTGCTGAAAAATGGAATGTCCTGAAAAGAGTTTTAGTGTTTTTTTTTTTTTTTTTTTTTAAGTGAATGCAAAAAGTTTTGATTTTTAGAGTAAGAATCTCTCATGCTTCTACACAAATAAAAAAAATAAAAATAATTGTAATCTAGATTATTCCCGAGTATTTATATGATATGTCTGTGTAGATTATTCTAGAGTTTGAGTTGCGATCTACCTTACTAAGTTCTTGTTGTTGGTGATTATGATTTTGTCTAATCTTCTTCTAAAGTTTTGTGCTGATCTATTTGTAGACGATCCATTACAAGATTAGTATTTTTTCTTGTCTATGTTAGTTCATGCAATTATACTATTGCTTGTAATGATAAGTAGCTCTCATTCTATCTCAAATATAATAAATAATGATGTTTTACTAAGTTTCAGTACGGGTTTCTATGATATTTTCATTATTACATTATTTGGTTTATTCTTGGTATTGTCGTCATTAATTTGAATGCGTTTTATGGATTTGTGGGTTTCTAGAATTAGTATGATTTTTTATTCATTTAATTTTTGTTCTTGATTCTCCAGCTAATTGAAGCATGTGCGGTGGTCAGAGCGATCAAATCTAGCACCGAAGATATGAATAACCTTGTGTTGAGACTGAAGATTCTTTTTCCAGCTTACTGAACTTGCTTCTAACAATGATGTTGAAGCTTTAAGCGAGTATTAGAGCGGGATCCTTCTTGTGTTGACGAGGTTGGGCTGTGGTTGGCCGTCAAAAAGGCCAAACAGATAGTTCGCGAGGCTAAAACTCCGTTGATGGTGCTGCTACCTATGGTAGTGTTGATGTGCTAAGCTTATACTGCTGCATCATGGCGATGTAAATCTCTCATGTGGCACGGACAAAAGCACTGCCCTTCATTGTGCTGCTTCTGGAGGTTCACCTGATATATTGTGTTGTAGACTGCTCTTAGCTGCAGGTGCGGATCCATATTGTTTGATGCCAGTGGTCGACGTGCGGTTGATGTTATTGCTGTTCCACCAAAGCTGCAGAGCATGAGAATCGCTCTTGAAGAACTTCTTGGAAGCATTGTGCTTCTGGTGTTAGCCGTGATGTTGAGAGCAATTTGACAATATCGACTAGTTCTTCTAGTTCTAGCTCCCCAATCCTCTCTGTATTAGGCAATGGGTCACTACCATCTCCTACGGAGTTAGCATCTTCTCCAATATCCCAAAGTTTAATGATGTATCGTCAGTGCTGTTGCGAAAAGAAAGAGTACCCAATTGATCCATCTCTCCCAACATAAAAACAGCATTTAGCATCTGATGAGTTTCGGATGTTCTCCTTCAAGGTCCGTCCTTGTCCCGAGCATATTCCCATGATTGGACGAGTGCCCTTTTGTCCACCCGGGGAGAATGCTCGGCGAAGGATCCTCGGAAGTTTCACTATAGCTGTGTGCCTTGTCCTGATTTTCGTAAGGGTTCTTGTAGGCGTGGTGATATGTGTGAGATTGCTCATGGAGTGTTTGAGTGCTGGCTACACCCCTCAATCAGAACTCGGCTATGCAAAGATGGCACAAGTTGCAATAGGCGGTTTGCTTTTTGCTCCGCCAACAGCTGAAGAACTTCGCCCCTTGTATGTCTCTTCTGGATCTGTGGTTCCTTCACCACGCTCATCTGTAAGCAGTGCTGGTGTCATGGATATGGCTGCACATTGAGCCTTTTCCCTGGTTTCTCCCTCATCGATCTCTGCCATGTCACCTAATCCCTTTACTCAACCCATGTCTCCTTCAGGGAATGGCAATATGCACTCATGCATGCGTGGCCACAACCAAATGTTCCTACACTTAATCTCCCGGGGAGCAACATTCATCGATCGCTTGAGGTCTTCCCTTAGTGCTAGAGATATCCCTGCTGATGATTTTCATGTTTCAGAACATGATGCCCAACAACAGA